GGTTTTCGAAATGCTGTGTGGAATAGTGGTTTGGTAAACTTTCCTTTTGAGGGCCATCAATTTACATGGGAGCGCGGGAGAGGCACCCCGGCTTGGGTAGAGGAGAAACTGGATCGTGTACTAGTGACAGAGAGCTGGTTATCTTTGTTTGGGGCTGCTTGGGCGAGAACTGTTATTGGAAGTAACAGTGATCATTTGGCATTATTTCTGCGGTATGAAACTGATAATTCTATACGTCAAAGACGTGGTTTTAAGTTTGAAAATCACTGGTTGCGTGAGAAAGAATGTAGGGGAATTGTTGAAGGCGCATGGGAGAGCAGTAGGGGCCGGAATTTAAAAGAAAGACTTCTTTTTTGTGGTGAAGCGTTAGATAAATGGGGGAGACATTTAAAGAGGAACTTCCAGCGGCAGATAGAGAAGTGCAAAAAAGAAATGGAAATTCTCCAGGGGCTTTCGGATATAGCAAGTGTTAACCAGTTTGCCAAAATAAAAGGGGAGTATTTGGCTCTTCTAGAGAAACAAAATGATTTCTGGAGACAACGTGCGAAGGAGTTTTGGCTGCAACATGGAGATATTAATATTTGTTTCTTCCATAACTCGGTCAAACAACGACGTAGGAAAAATGGTATGAAAGGTCTTCAAGATGGTTCAGGGAACTGGGTCACAGACCAGCGAAGACTCCGAGGCATGGTGCTGAGGTACTTTCAAGATCTGTTTGCGGCAGGGGGGAGGACATCCACAGGGAATGTGGGACCTGTTAAAGGAAAAGTTACTGCTACTCAAAATGATCTTCTTCTTAGGGATATTACGCCAGAGGAAGTTAGAGCAGCTGCTTTTGACATGCATCCAGATAAAGCCCCAGGGCCGGACGGGCTAAATCCAGGTTTTTTTCAGCATTTTTGGGATTTGGTTGGTAAGTCTGTAGTTGAATTTTGCTTGTCCTGCTTTCGAAATGGGAAGATTCCTGAAGGGTGCAATGACACCACAATTGTCTTAATACCTAAGAAGGAAAATCCGAAGACCCTTGGAGACTGGAGACCGATAGCTCTTTGCAATGTGGCATATAAAATTTTTGCTAAGCTACTCGCTAATCGAATGAAATTTCTTCTAAATGATATTGTTGCTAAAAATCAAAGTGCATTTATTCCGGGGAGATCAATAGTGGACAATATTATTTTAGCCTTTGAAATTCAGCATTATATGAAGAGAAAAACGCAAGGGAAAGAGGGTTATGTGGCTTTAAAATTGGATATGAGTAAAGCATATGATCGAGTGGAATGGTCGTTTTTGAGACAGATCATGGAGCAGTTGGGGTTTCAACCTCGTTGGATTAATTTAATTCTTCAGTGTGTTACCACTGTTAGCTATACTGTGCAGGTTAATAATGAATTAGTGGGACCCATAACTCCAACACGAGGTTTACGTCAAGGGGATCCGATCAGCCCTTATTTATTCATCTTAGTTGCTGAGGGTTTAAGTGCTTTGATACGACACCAGGAGAGAGATCGGAATATGGCTGGAATACGCATAGCGAAGGGTGCCCCTGGTATTTCTCATTACTCTTTGCTGACGATAGCTTTCTCTTTTTTAGAGCACGGGAGAATGAATGCTTAGCAGTTAAAGATACTTTAGCAACATATGCCTTGATGTCCGGACAAATTGTGAATTTTGATAAATCTAGTGCTCGATTTAGTGCAAATGTAGCCTGGGATGACAGAGATTATTTATGCCGGATTCTTGGAGTTCCAGAAGATATTCAGGGAGGAAGGTATCTTGGACTGCCTTCAATGGTTGGCCGTAACAAGAAGGAAGTGTTTGGTTACATAAAGGAGAGAGTTATTCAAAGAATTCAAAGTTGGAATAGCCGTTTTTTGTCGAAGGCAGGTCGAGAAGTGTTGCTTAAAACGGTTATTCAGGCTATGCCTCAATATGCAATGAATGTGTTTCTTCTACCCGTTGAAATGTGTAGAGATATTGAAAGAGCGATGAATGCGTTTTGGTGGCGGGGACATGCTTTCAAAGGAAAAGGAATCAGGTGGATGAGGTGGGATGAACTTTGTATACCGAAAAGTATGGGGGGAATAGGGTATCGAAAGCTCCGTGAGTTTAATATTGCTATGCTCGGGAAACAGGTTTGGAGATTATTAAAGCATCCACAGTCACTGGTTAGTAAAGTACTTAAAGCCCGTTATTTTCCTCGTGGCGGGATTCTACAGGCCCAGTGCGGTTCCAATCCATCATTAATTTGGCGCAGCATTGTTGAGGCTATACCGATTGTCCGGGAGGGTGTTATTTATCGTGTTGGGAGGGGAGACAATATCCGAGTGTGGAAGGATAAATGGTTACCGGGGTCTCCAGGGGGGCAACCAACCTCTCCACACCAGGTTGAGTTGGAAGACATAACTGTTAACTCTCTTATGACGATAAACGGGAAGGATTGGGACAAAGACATTTTAAATGATTTGTTTAACGAAGTTGATACAATGAAAATACTGAGTATCCCAATAAGTGAGCAGCGGCGGCAGGACGAGCTGATATGGGCGGAAGACCCAAAAGGGATTTTCTCTGTTCGAAGTTGCTACCGTATTTTGACGCAAAGAGAGGCCACCTCTTTTTCATGGACTCGCATGTGGAAGTTAGTTCTACCTCCCAAAGTAAAAAATTTCTTCTGGCAGGCTTGCGTTGGCGCTTTACCGACCAAAGATCGTCTTTTGTACCAACGGGTTCCTGTAGGGCCTAATTGCCTAGTGTGTGACCAGGCACAAGAAACAACTATGCATATCTTTTGGGAATGCACCTTAGCTAAGGAGGTTTGGCGGAGGCAAAATAAAAAGTATATTTGGGATGGCTTTGAAACTTTTGGGAGCTGGGCAGATCATATTAGTAATATGTGTTCCCCAGAAGAGTTTAGCAGGTTTGTTATGCTCTGTTGGAGTTTATGGAAGGCCAGAAATGCCAAAGTTTGGCATAATACCAAAATGAACTGGAGAGGAGTAATTGCTTGTGGGGAAGCCGTGTTAGAAGGTTGGCGGGAAGCCCGTGGAGCAGCTGGGACACACAGGAGAGAACCTGAAGAAGGGCGGTGGCTGCAACACTACAACCGGGTTTGCGCAGGGGTTTGGGCCTAGTTGCACGAGCCGACAACAGTAGTTTTATAGCAGGAAAGCAAGTGCAGCTGATGGGTTCTTTTTCGGCTAGCATTACAGAAGCACTGGCGGTTAAAGAAGCAGTCAAGTGGGCGAGGGAGATTGGGTGGTCAAACGTTGTTATTGAGTCAGATGCACAACAGGTTGTTAAAGGAATTCAACACATCGGTGGGAGATCGTACATCGACATTATTTATGAGGATATTAGACATATGATGGCTTCTTTTGCCAATATACATGTCCGTTTTATTCGTAGATCAGCGAACAAAGTTGCCCATACATTAGCACGGCAAGCTTTGTCTGAGTCTGATTGTAGTTAGTATGATTTACCTCCGGGTAGTATTGTACATCTTTTGGAGAACGATTGTCATTAATGAAATTTTACTTATTTTCAAAAAAAAAATAGAGAAATTTTTGTCATATTGAGTGATGAGGGAAATAAGAAAACACAGCTGATATTCGTGTAATTTCTGATTGTATGTTTGTATTTTTAACTAGTTTTTATTAGTTCTAATTGTGGAAATTACACACTTTTGGTGTAATACTTTATTTTCATTTTTTATTTGTAATTTGTTTAGATTAGGATTATTCTGAGCTAAACAGGTCAAAGATCATTCAAGGGATCAAGATTGGACCTGAAAAGATCAAGGAAAGTGCAAGGAGGCAAGAAAGGTTTCGATTTGGAAAAAATATTCATGTACCGATCGGGTATTGCCTATACCCGATCGGGTATTTGATTGATTCGATTGTCCAAATCAAATCCGGGAACAAATGATTGTGGGAGCGAATTTTCGTGAAGATTTGTCACATACCCGATCGGGTATACCAACATACCCGACCGGGTATGCCACAGAAAAGTGACTTTCTGTGCAATTTCCTAAGATACCCGGTCGAGTATCCTACATACCCGGTCGGGTATCAGACCCTGCAGCTCCCAAAAGCCTATAAATACACCTCTTTCCTTCCCAATCAAATCACCAATTCCTATACACTTCTAAGCTCAGTCTAGATAAGTTCTTTCTTTATATTTTTATTATGTTTAGTCTCCAAATGAGTAGCTAAACTCTTCCATCTTGGTTTTGCTACTTTGAAGCTTAATGAATTGTAAGTTGTGAGTTATCTTCTTTAATCTTCTTCCTTGAATATTAATTAATTCAGATTCCTATCTCATATTAATATTTTGATCATTACTTAAAGGATCAACTAGTTTTGTTTCATATATTAATTATTACTAGAACCGATCGATTAATACACTTGTTATTAATTCGGTCCTTTCACGGTAGTAAACTTGGGTTTTTAATGCATGCGTTTCATGGTTAATATATAACCGAAGAGGAATTAATTATATTGGTTAAACCGATAAACCGCTTGGGTTAGGTTATCAATCTCAATCGTTTTCATCTTGATTTTATTGCTACTATCGGGTTAATATACGACGCGTGTTCTATATTAACTTGGTAGTAAGTTTTATTAATGAACGCGTCTCGTTATTAATAATTACCCTCGATGAACTGGATATACTTCTCGATTGAGTGTTCGAGAGGAAGATAGTTAAAGATATAACTGGGATCGACGAACATTTCATTAATTAAGTGGATAAAAGCAAAACCAAGTCTTCTTTTCATTAATTATACCACATAAGTCATTCATCTTTGTGTTTAAATATTCTTATAGTTCTTCAACAAAAAATCCAAAACCCCCTTTGTTACTAGTTACAAAAATAGAAGTATTCCTTTCTATGTGAATACGAGCCTTACTACACTATACTACGTATAAGTGTTGTATTGTATTATTATTTTGAGTGCACATCACGACAAAGTGCACGTCAACAACAGCACGGTAGATCATATACAAGTAAATCTTCAATAATTTGTAATGTATGATGTTTTTATTTATTTTTTCTTTCTTTTTAAATAAAAAAGAATCCTAAGAAAACACTTCAAATCATAATAGTAATCCATAGCACATGTGTCTCAAATCTAGTGAACTAAATTAATGCCAAAACAGTTTTTCTCAAAAACCATATAGATAAAATAACATATTAGAACAATCGTAATTGCCTAATCGAAGAGTGTGAACCACATGTCTTCATTACTCTCCTCTTCTTTCTCTTCATTTTTTGCTTCTGCAGGAACTGATGTAGCCGGGGCTGCAGCACCAGCAGGGGCTGCAGATGCTCCACCTCCAAAATCTGCTTCAACAACAGCTCCGCCAATAATCACCTGGAAAACGGCGGAGTTAGGAAAGGCATATGTACTTATTATACTCTTCATAATTGTTATGTAGTACTCCATATTATTTGTTTACTACTCTCTCATCCTTGTGATAACTAATACGGAATACTACTTCATATGACTAACATTGTGGCATGAAGAGGTATGTGATTATTAAGAGAAATTAAAATAGATTATCAGGTTAGTATTAAGGGGGTGCTTGTAACTTATTCTACTTATGCTTCTTTTTAAAGGCAGAAGCAGAATCAACTTTCAGAAGATGGTCTCCCCCGACTTCTAAAAAAATTGATCCTAGGAATAAATTATAGCACCATTATCACTTCTGCACAAACACCCAAACACTTCAACTTCTGCTCCCTGGAGGATCAGAATATTAAAAATAAAATATAGACACCCCCTAAATTGCTAAAATAAGAATAAAATAAGAATGTTTTAGAATTACACAAATTTTATCATATTCAGTATGGGACAATCTTAATGGGACGACTCGAAAAAAAGATGACACAATTTTAGCGTGACGAAAAAAGTAATACGATAGTAAGATTTATAAATGTATTAAATATGTAGAGACCGTTTGGCAGCACTATTTTTCTGCTTATCAGGCTTATCAGCCAACTTTTTCACCAAACACGCAACTTTTGTTTTCGCGCGCTAAATTGTGTAATAAACAGAAAAAGTAAGGTTAGAGTTATTTTTCTGACTGTATTGGTTGAAGTTACTGTAGATGACCATTTTAGCTATTTTATATATAATTTTTTCTTTATTTTATTAATAAAATATATTTTAAAAATAATATTTTCTTTAATCAGCAGAATCAGCCAATGCAGCCACTTCAACCAGAACTTCATAAATTACAGCAGAATCAGCCATATCAGCCGATTTTGGTGCTACCAAACGTGCTCGTAGTATAAACATTTGTAATGTTCATGTATGAGAACCCGTCTTTAGATACTAGTGCTCGTAATAAGAAAAGCATGCAAGTTGTATAAATAAGAAACTAAAAATAAATAGAGAAACAAGCACCAATTCTGAAGTTATGGCTATAAAATCAAGGATAATGGCACTACCGGCGGGAGAAACATAGAACTGAGAACCGATTTTGAGGACATAGCGGTATTCAACAGCAGTCGCGCCTGTCATCATCATAACAAAAAAGAGAGCACATAAATTCTACATGGTCTACGTGCACAGATATTCTAGCATATCATTTTAAACTAAGGCTATGTTTGACATGATGTTTCAGCTCAAAATAAGCTGAAATTTCTGAAATTCAGTTAATTATAGTACAAATAGAATTGTTTGGATCAAGGGCTGAACAAAGCTTAGGCTGAAAAGATGCATCTGAACCAAAACGCTGTGATACTTATCGGGGATTTTTCTAGGTTTTACCAAAAAGGGGGAGTCGGAACTCCCAATTCCGACTAGGATTTAGGATTTCAAAAAAACTACCCATTCCTCTAGTCGGATTACCCAATTCCGACTAGAATTTAAATTATTATTTTTTTTGCCGAATTCTTAAGTTTTTTATTTTGAGTTTTAAAAACTAATAGTTTTAGGGCTAAATTCTATCCATTCCAAATTTAAAAGTTTTTTTAGATTCCTGACATATTTTTTAAAATGAAAACTTAGCATTTTGATTTTTTGAGTAACAAAACATTTGATTGCTTTATAGTGTTTTTTAATCCATTTGTATTGCCAATTTTGTTTTAATTGCAATTTTTGTAATTTTAAGTGCAATTTTGATTTAATCCATTCGTCAAATTAGATACAAATTTGATTTTGTTTTAAATGCAATTTTTGTAATTTTAATGGAAGTGAACATTATTTTGGCGTTGAACATTATTTTGGTGTTTAACATTCGAAACATTTAAAAAAAATGGAACAATACCCTAGTCGGATTCCCCAATTCCGATTAGGTATTTCAAATTATTTATCCAACCCTAATCTCTAGTCGGAACAACGGATTCGAACTCCCGTGTTTTGGTAACCTAAATCACATTCCCGTGTTTTGGCATGTCAGACACCATACTCCCGTGTTTTGGTAATTCTTTCATAATTCATACTTATCCCTCTTTTGCCGATTTGTTCCGATCTAGTGTTCTTCCCTCAATTATAATCGCAACCCACAAGTCGATCATATTCTCATTGCGATAAATCATATCTTCACCATACGTTTCTCCTAGAATTTCTAGTTAACTTGGTTTTTCTTTCGTACGATTTCTACTTCACTACAAATTTCTTCTTAAGTGTGTATTTTTTTTACCCAAAAGAAAAAGTAATCACATCACAGAACTCATTTGGTGGAGTCGTTGGATAGTCCGGATGAAATTTCTTGATGCTTTTATGATAAGAGGAATTTCTTTGTGATATGATTTAATTCAATTTTATACGTAGTACTAATTTGATGATATTCAGACTATTTAATAGAAAAAAATAATCTACTGTGTGAGCTTGACTCGAGTTTTGGACCGATGATGTGTGTATTCTAGCAATTCATATTTATGAAAATATAGTCATTACATTAAATTATTTATTATATTTAATCATATATATTATACAGTACTATTTATTAATATAACAAATCATTATAGTAAATATTTTACTCCGTATTATATTAATAAATTATATGCCCTTTAATGTAATTTAATATTATCCTGTGCTAATCCAGCTCGTTTTGCCAAAAGGGTAGGGGTGCATGGACTCAGGTCAGGCCGCCCGGCCCGGAACCCGGTCACAGGACTGGTCCGGGCCACCCGAATCGGGAATTAAACAGGACGGGCTCGGACCTCCTAAAAGTGGAATTAGCCGGTCTGGGCCCGGTCCAGGCCTATTTCTTTTTTGTGGAAATATCCCGCTAAGGCCACTTTTAGTTAGCGAATTTCATTTATGTCACCATGTTATTTTCTTATCATGTTTAAACTTATCACTTTTCACTTTTAAACTTTTTATTTCAAAAATAATCCATCGATTAAAATCTAAACCCAAATCCCTATGTTCCCACAAATGAAAATTTGGGTTCGTTGATTTCACGCTGAGGAGGGAGTTGTGTTATTCCGCGTCCCTCAGTAGTCTATCTCTCGAGCTCTAGGCGGTGTTGGTCTGGAACTCTTCTGACTTTCTTCCTCCGGTCATCGACGGAAGTAGCTTCGCCGATGTCATCGATACACATCCCATCAACCTCACTCGATTTGAAATTTCCTTATTATCATGTTAATTGTCCTGCAAAGGCATCGGAAAGTATCGATCGATCACTGTCCAGCTGGTCTCGGGTCCTCAAGGTACCGGAATCATGGCTACTCTAAGGGTCCACATGGAAGCAACAAGCATCCGTGCTAATATGAGATGTTCGGCCGCCAAAGCTAGATCGGGAGACCAGAGAGAAGTGAAAAACACATCCATATATCATCGTCTCCGGTATTTAGTTATTCATTTTGACTGTGTTATAAAATTTAGATGATTGTTGATGCCTATGAAAGTTATTTGAAAATTTTCATATGAAAGCACATCGTTTCTGATATGCCTGTGTCATGTGTGGATTGCTAGTGAAATAGATTGCGGAATTATGATCCTTCCCTTACTGTCTGTGCTTTCTGTAAGTCACCAAATGCAACAAATGTAAGTTTTAACTCATTTTGAACTTTCCTCTTCGTTTTAGTGTCAAGGAACATTGAATAATTATAATCATCTCCTAGAGTTGATTACTTTTTGTTTTCTTTTCCTGATAAATTTTGTAGGCTTCTTCCAATTTTATTTTATTGTTTGAGGAAAGGAGTTTGCAGATTATCTTCCTGATTTCAAACCTATTCACAGGAGATGCATCGACTGGTATGACTTCGAAACAAAATCCCTTGGTTATGGATGTGTGCATTGTTTTAAAATTTACTTTAGATAAAAACATCAAGAAAATACATTTTTCGTGTGCATTTTGACAGAAATAATCTTAGTGCCTGTATATTTGAATACATCAAATACATGAGGTGTTCTTTTTTATTCATTAGTGAAATGTTTTGTGACTGTTATAATGAAAACTGAGCTCATGCCATTGTCCAACCTATTACGTGGCCACTTAATTTGTAATATCCACTCATTTTTGGAGGTGATAGTATACAGTATAAATCACAGTTTGGCTACTAACTTTGAGCAGGGAGTTGATTATAGTAGAAAGGTAGATATATGTGTTTGTTGTGTGCATGGTTCTCCATACCGACTCCTCATTTTCTGATGATGAAAAAGTGTTGCTCCCTGATTTTGGTTTGAAATTTTCTCGCTCATTATAATTTTCATTTTCATGATTAATTTGTCTTTATTCATTCTAGGATGTTGAAGTAGCTTTAAATGGGAACTTTGTTGTAGTGTTGGATATTATTGGTGTTCCAAATACTAAAGAATTGAGTAATTGAAATGAATGTTGTGAAGAGACACGAACACTATATGACATTGCATGTATAGTTAAATTCAATTCCAATGCTTCCCTCACTTGCTACTGAATTTAACAAATTATTCATTTCAATTGTTTTGTAAATCTTCCTATATTTAGTGAGAGGCTGTGTCATTAGCTGAGAGATATAGACTAACTATTCTCCATCCCATGGTAATTGCTATCTTGTTAAATAAACATATCCAATATTGATATTCTAGTGGAATTGATTCATAATTTTTTTTCTATATTGTTTGATCATGTTAGTGTGTTAAACTAATATGGTATTATCAAGATATTAAGAAAACATGCATGAGAAAAGAGTACTCATATTATTTGAACTAATATATGCTTTATTGTTTGGCATGAACAGAATATTGGTGGACTTACACAAGGATTGATACGAAGACTTCTTAGTTCACCTACTCGCCAAAAATCGTGGATTGCTTAAGAAGTCTTTTTCAATTATGGTGAAGGGTCTCTGATTCATTGATTTCGACAATACAATGAAGATTATCTAGGAAAGTGAAGACAAGATAGTCAACCCTGAAGAATTGTGTGTTAAGATGAATAAAAAGAAGTGATGTGAAGGAAAGCCAAATTATATACTCCGTAATAGATATATGTAATACATTGAAATACTAAATTGAATTACATAATTAGTTGCATTGAATGTGTTGCTTTTTGTTGCATTATGTTGTTTTTTGTTTCATCGTGTTGCTTTTTGTTGCACTGTGTTACTTATTTTGTGTTTTTGTTGATCTTGATTTTTTTGTTCATTTAGGTGTTTATTTATCTTTGAGACTTCTTTAAAGTAAAAAAAAAAGTGTACATAAATTTATATTCAATCACTTAAATTAATAAATTTGGATTTGGGAATATAAACCAATCAGAGGAAACATAAATAAACAATAAATAACAAAAAAAAATCAGAGCTATAAAACAAAATGAAACAAAAAGAAACAATGGGCAACAAAAAGCAAACACCAAAAGTATATAATAAGAATTGTTAAATTTGTAACTATTTTAAAAAAAATTACGAAATTTATATTTTTAAATTATTTCAATTGTTTCAATGTTTAATTTTGTTTTGAATTTATTTTCAGTTTTCACATTTTTATTTTTAAGTTTTATATTTTCCATTCGATCTTGTTAGTCTAAATACATTTTCTTCTTTTTACTTTTTTGAAAAGAATGATTTATTTATTTTTATTTTGTACTGTAGAATTTAATTCGATTTTTAAACATTTTTCAAATTTATATAATTATTTATCAAATTTAAAAAATTAATACTTTTTAATATATATCAGTTTCTAAAATAATAACTGTTTCATAAAAAGTTTATAATGTTGTACCATAATTTTTAATATTTTTAATACCATTTTTTAAGTTTAATCATTTTTTAAGATTCTAAATATTTCAGAGTTTTTTTCATGTTTTGATTATTTTTTTTATTTTTTAATTATGTATTTTCAATTTGAATTTTTATTTATTTTATAAAAATTTCAATTATTTGGTCTGCATATTTTTATTGTTTTATACGTGCTTTTTATACAAATTAAGGGGCTATGCATTCTTTGATTATTTTTCTTATTCTTACTTTTGAGTTTTGTATTGTCGAATTTTCTATATATTTCTTGATTAACATTTTTCAAACTCAGTTTTTTATTCCATATGATTTGATTTCTTAATTTTTTATATCTTATTTTTAATACT